TGGAGATGGAGATACCAGCCATAGTCAGAGTCTGTGAGTAATTCACAATGGACCAGCCATAGTCAGAGTCTGTGAGTAATTCACAATGGCTGGAGCACAAAGTCAATAGAGGAACCGATGGCAGACAAGACCATGAAAGAAAAACAAGAGCAAATTGTGGTTCTTATTGTTGCCTTTTGTAATGCTTTTGAATTGGGAAAGAAGGGGTATCTCATTTAGGTAAATCTTTAATAAAACTATCAACTCACTAAAAGATCAACTATGGGATTATCATTGACCTTTTAAAAAGAAATAATGGCACATTTCTTCAAATCATAAATAGTCCTAATACATTTGCAACATGATTTGTTTTGTAAATTTAGATTGACATGCAACTTTTCAAGAACACATGGATTGTGTGAGTGTCGCCTCACCTGCATAGTTGGAAAGGGTGGTCAGAGTTATTTTTTTGACTGAAGGAAACATATTTGTTTAGGAGGCTGATTAGATGGCTAAAATGAGATGTTTATAGATATTATTTACTTACGCACTGAATGCTTAAGGACTCTTTTAACCATCGATTGCAAGGATGCAACTTTAAATTTATATTCCTTCTCTGGGTTCAGATTTTTGAAGGCAAAAGAGTTTTAATCCTAAATTCCTTGGCATCATTACACTTAGACTCCATGTATATTTTGCTATGTAAGTTTAGGTGTTCTTTGTACTTTTTAACATTTTTTATTTTTAACAAATTTCAGACTCACAGAAATGTTGCAAAATTGTACAGTTTCCATATATCCCTCAACTAACTTCCTCTAATGTTAGCACCCTACATCACCATAGTGCAGTTATCAAAACCAGGAAATTAACATTGTTTTAATGCTCTTAACTAAACTAAAAAGTTTATTCTAATTTCAGTTTTTCCACTAATGAGCATTTTCTTTGCCAGGATCCCATCCAGAGACTGCACTGCATTTAGTTACTATTTCTCTTTAGTTTTCTGTAGTCTGTGACCATTCTTAGGTCTTTCCTTTTTCTTCCTTTTTTCTTTTCTTCTTCTTCTTTTCTTTTTAATGACAATTTGAAGAATACTGATGTTATTTTGCTGAACATCTCTCAATTTGGGTTTGTCATGATTCAACTGACGTGCATTTTTGGCAAGACTACTGCAGATACTGGGTTGTGTTCTTTGCAGTGCCTCATACCACAGGCTTCATGATGTGCATATGTTATCACTGGTGATGTTGCCCTTAATCACTTGGTCAAGGTAGTTTCTTCTTTGTACTTTAACCCTGATGGCTAATTATTATCTGCTATTTCTGACAGATAACAAGGTAACAGATCATGGAATGTAGAGTTGGAAAGGGAAGTTAGAGACCATCTTTTGTAAACTCCTCCTTTTATAGTTATATCCCAGAAGCTGTAAGAAAGAGGGTAGCCACTTGCCCAAAGGTAACCCAATCACTTAATGTCAGGGCTCCAACTTGAATACTCTGAGCTTCCTAGCTGTAATTCACTTAGCCTCAGTTTTACCATACTAGAAGGGCTAAACTGACTATATGAATATTCAGCTAACCTTTGGTCGAAACTTATAGCCAGCCTAAAAGAGAAATCAGAGAGAGGTATGCACCCCACAGTTCATGGTGCCTGCTCACAGAGCTGACCAAGGCTGGAAATCAGATAAACTTCTGTATCAGCATTTCTGAAACGAAAATAATTCTCCTGGAATTCTCCACGTAACACACAGGGAACAACAACAAAAAACCTACTTGAGATTTTTAACAGAAAAAGGAGATTTGTTTATTAATAATTCATGAGTTCCCATTGAACATGCACGACAGAAACAGTGCTATTCAATAGAGAATACTGTCATCTGTCACTGTTTTATTTGACATTTACACTTTTTTTTTCCCTGATACTGCAAAACTTTCTTGGACGGCATGCAAAAATTATATAAATGAAAAAAATCCCAGTGTGGGGACTCTTTATCTCTTCTGTGGTGGGTTCGCTCACAGTTACATACGTGTGTGTTCATGCAGCAGCATGGCACTTTCTCACACCTTCATTAGCCACCAAACAAGCTAATAAGAGACCCCATTGAGAAAACAGAGATAAGCATCCCACATGGGCTGGTGGAAGGATCATGTGAACAAAAAGATGGAGGGTGAGGCGGGAAGTGGGGTGGAAGAATAGATTTCCGGAAGGTAAGCATTCAGATACGTGAAACGAGCCGTGAATCAGAGCAAAAGGAATGTAAATTATGGCCGCCATGAAGAAAACGGACAAACATACATCTCCATTTCTGATGCAAAATAAATGTTTAGAAATGGCATCACAGGAGTGCCACTCGTAGGGAATATCGGCCTTTAGTGGAAGAGCAAGTTAGAGTTAAGAGCACCTTGTAATTTTGTGCTACTGAAAGGCTCTTGACAATCTTTCTGCTCTGTAGGTTAGTTATTATTTATAAAAATCACAGAACCAGCTGATACATTCATAAGCTAATTATTGAAGCAGCTGGGTACACATGGTGCAATATGTCCAAGGCTGTGAAGTATCACAGATTTCTTGGGGCCTGCTGTGGTGGGGGTGCACTGTTGAAGGCTCCATCCCTTAATCTGATCAGCCAAGCAAACACTTTGTGGGGAAACTAGATTAATAACCCTCTAAATACCATGAATGTGCTTTATCTTCAAAACCGGGTTCCCTTAAACATGCTATTAGCTCAGCACCATCAGGGATTTGAGGAAGTTCTCTGGTGCCTGAAGAACAGGGTCTTGTTGGCTACCTCCCTGTGCCAGAAATTAATTTGGTTTGCTTATGTCTGCACACATGATCACACTTGTGTCTAATCTGCTCCCTAATAGCTTCAAGGTCAGGACCTTGCATGTCAGTGGGCAAATTGAGCACCACACTTCTTGAAGACTGATGGCAGACAGCACACAGTCCATAACGAGGCCTGTAGTTTGTCCTAAGTGATTGTAATGAGTGCAGATTATAACAGCGCATATAAATCAAATGCGGCCATGAATGTTGTGCGAGACATTCCGCATCTCGTAAGTGGAGATACCACTCAGCTGTCACCTGTCCCCTTTCAAGCTGCAGCTTCCCACAATGCAGTTCACTCCTCAAGCGGAACAGCAGGTGCTGTCCTCCTGAAGGTCTGGGTATCTCAGAACTTCGTCTTTTAACAGATGTAGGTTTTTGTTTTTATTTTCTGTTAAATGATTGGTCTCTATGCTTTAGCTTCCCCTGGGAGATGTTAAACATACCTGTTTGAAACATTTGAAAGAATTCAGTTGGAGACTTATTCAGATCTGTGTAAAGACAGAGAAAGAGGAGCTTATTTTTCCACAGATGGTTTATTTTCCATTTCAAGAATTCTTTCCTTTGTACAAAGAAACTCTTGAGGAAACACGTTGGGACTAGGAGATTTTTTTTTAATATAATTTATTTCTGATAGGGCTAAATTGTCTTCAATTTTCATATATGTTGTACCTTGAAAATCAGCATTTACCTCTCAATTGACTTGAAAAAAAAAAGTCTATGAAAATACTTGGAAAAACATTTCCAAGCAAATTATTCGATATCTTGTTTTCATTCTTCCTAACCCTCTAACTCTCCCCAGCTCCCAGTTTATTGCAAGAAAAGATCAGGTCTGCGCAAATGTGGCCTCTCACTTGTAAAAACAAGGCAGTGTTGTGTTACAGATTAGTTTATAAATCCCCAGTGGCTTCACAGTTCAGTGCCTACAGCTGCTGCAGATGGGCCTGGGTTTTTGTCTCTTCGCGGTGCTGCAGCCGGCAGTTGAAGGAGAAAATGGAATGATCAGGTTATTAACATGGAGGCCGCGAGGAAGAGGCTGCACAATGAGAACAGCTGGTGTTGCTGTCTTGGCTGATGCAGCGGAGATAATCAAATCTTGCCTTTTTTTTGGGTAAAGGCAGAAGACACAGTGGAGAGTTAGACAAACAACGGCTTATGATATTATATGGGGTTTTTATGATGCATGTCAGGAACTTTCATTGGCTTACAAGTTATGATATAAAATTTGTTGAGATTTGGGATTTAATTTTTTCAAAGTTATTTGTGTTTATTTCTGCACCTTTTTAGAAAAATTCTTACTCTTTTGCAAGAGGCGTGATGTGGGACAGTTCTTGTTTTTAAAATTAGTGATGTAGCTTGGAAGTGATGGGTTAGAAAGCTACTGGGTAAAATATTTTGACATGAGTCAGTGAGCGATGTTGACAGCATCCTCTGTATTATTTTCATATAATCCATCATTATTTGCATTACATTTTCTTTCTCGTGCAGTTTCAAGGGTGAGAACATCCGGATGCCAGAATTGGGAGACACATTTGCAGGTGTGACCTGGCCAACTGCCTACCTTCCTGCAGGTGTGGCTGTGGCGGGAAGGGGATGGTTAAGAGGGCCTAGAGCCCAAGGCATTCAGAGATGGAGCAAATATACAACTTTTTCATTCTAGCTAAGGTGGTGGTTTTTATTTTGTGGAGTTACTGATAATTCTAAGACTATTTCCTTTCTAGAGAGTTCAGTGCTGTTTACACTCAGACATGTTTTGTTCCTTAGAATTTACTATGTTGCAATACATATTTGTTCATTTTCACTCTTCTCTTAGGATGGAAACTATCCAACTGGGTAATTTTTAAAAAATTGTAGCTGAGCAACATGAATTACTTTCTTTTCAGAGAATTAGATAACTGTCACCTTGCTGGAGTATCTTTTACAAAGGACCTGTAAATTCATCGAGAATATATTCAATAGGAAAAGTGATAAGGTGATTAACAAGCATGAAGACTCTTGGCTATTGGTGTAACCACCTCTGTGGTCGTTGGTTGGTTTTTCAAAGTTGTTAGCTGTTGCAGTATCTTCCTGGGTGGGTAGGAACAATTTTGACAGGAAAAATATGCTGCACTGGGATGGCACTGGACTGCAGTCCAGCCATCCTCTGCTGCTCTGCACCCTACAGATTAACCCAGGTGGCCTTCTCTCTCTCTCTCTAGGGCTGGTTGTGCGAACTGCTCCGCTGGAAGGAGAACCCCAGCCCAGAGAACCGCACCCTCTGGGAGAACCTCTGTACCATCCGTCGCTTCCTGAACCTTCCCCAGCATGAGAGGGATGTGATCTATGAGGAAGAGTCGAGACATCACCACAGTGAGCGCATGCAGCATGTGGTCCAGCTTCCCCCTGAGCCAGTGCAGGTCAGCATCCCCTAACCTGGGCAGGGTGCTTGGTGCCAGCAACTGTCAGGGTCAAAGGGGGACACCACACAGCCTCCCATTGAAAGGTTTTTCTTATATGGTAAAGATATGAACCGTTGTGCATAACTATGCACCAGATTAGTCTATTGAATGTCTCCAAGGACAGAGGCCCCTGTTCTCATAGTGGGTACCGCGTATGTGTGTATGTGTATGTGCGTGTGTGCACACACGTGCACATGCTCATACACGGAGAAAAATGAGTGGGAAGTCGAATCCAAAGGCAGCTTCTTTCCTGAGCGTGTTTTACTTGTGGGACTGTGAAGCCAGAACACTTGTGGAGAATTAAACCTCCCAGTCAGAAAACACAGTTCATAGTTTCCACCATTTTCTAAAGAAAAAACTCTGAAGTAGCTAATAAATTAATCTAAAAGTCTCTCAAGGAAAGTTTGACTAGGCTGAGGAAAAGAAATATTCACATGAGCTGGAGAATACCATTGAACTCAACTGGACTTTGAGAGAAATTATGATAGATTCTTAGAATTTTAAGATGAGTTTTTGCTGTTTTTTGTTTCCTCTCTTTTAGAAATCTGTGTTCATTTACGTTGCATGTTTTATTTGGTTAGTATTTGCTCTCATTGAGAGAAATAATATTTCTTTCTTTTTTTTTTTTAAAGATTTTATTTATTTATTTGAGAGAGAGAGAATGAGATAGAGCATGAGAGGGAGGAGGGTCAGAGGGAGAAGCAGACTCC